TTGTATTCGCAAACTTCCTAATGTTAGTCGCGTTCTATCTCTGTTCTCCACATCTAATATTTTCGCGTTTTCAAAGTCTGCTGTATGCCCGCTATTCGTTAAATGTTGTGCTAATGCAGTCGTTGTCTTCTTATTTCTTGCGTCGGTTTTAAGTTCGCTTATTCTAATACCGAGAGCGCGCTTCGTTGTGCCTATGTATATTTTATTGCATGCTTCGCTAGCTTTACCATTGCATTTGATTTCGTAAACCACGTTATGTTGTTGTTCTTTGTTTATTTCGTCTTTTGTTTTGCTAAAAATTCTATTGATCGTTCTATGTGGTTTATGTGCAAATGTTATGTTTTTGTTTTGAATGCTTTTTCGTATTGTTTTACTGTCCGTTAATCCTTGTATATATGTGACGCCTGTGTATCTTTTGTTGTTTGTAGTTTCGGGTTGAGTGTTGAAATGCGCTGCTTTTGTTTTGGCTTGTTTTTCGCTGTTGCTATCAACCTCTTAACAGCTTTGTGTGGATACCCGTTTTTTATAATATGTTTCTAATTTTCTGCTGTTGTCTTTTCTGAATTCCTGGTCACTTAAAAATCGTACTTAGGTGAACACAGGCATCGGACTTTTAACAACATCAAATAAAGTTGCTTCACAACATAGTATATTCATTGTAATATAATTCTGTGTTTGAGTCAAAGTAAATTTTTAACTGTTAGTGGGAAAGTCGTGAAGGACGATGATGCAACGGTAGCGGGTTCTTCGGCGTTTGGCGCAAACGATGAAAAAGCTCTTGCGAGCATTGTCCTCAGCATTTAAATCCTCTCAGGAAACGTGGAATAGACTGAAGGACATATACCAGCGACAAGGACCAGCGCAAAAAATCTCGTTGTTTGAAAAATTACTTTATCTCCGTAAGTCTGAAGGAGCGAGTATCAAGGACCATATCAACGAGTTTTATTCGGTGTCGGAGCAATTGATCGAGATCGGCGTAATAGTCCCAGAAGAAATGTTGACAATCATTTTGCTTTCGAGTTTACCGAAGAGTTACGATAATTTTGTCGTGGCGATTGAAACGCATGATACCTTGCTACCGCTTAAGGTTTTGAAGGTGAAACTGTTAGAAGAAGGTGAAAGAAGGCAAGATATTGGAGAACGTGGAGAAGAAGGAGAGCAGGAGAAGGCATTTGTCGGACNCCGCACATATTTCCACTAGTCCTTTTATTGATTGCTTCACAACATAGTATATTCATTGTAATATAATTCTGTGTTTGAGTCAAAGTAAATTTTTAACTGTTAGTGGGAAAGTCGTGAAGGACGATGATGCAACGGTAGCGGGTTCTTCGGCGTTTGGCGCAAACGATGAAAAAGCTCTTGCGAGCATTGTCCTCAGCATTTAAATCCTCTCAGGAAACGTGGAATAGACTGAAGGACATATACCAGCGACAAGGACCAGCGCAAAAAATCTCGTTGTTTGAAAAATTACTTTATCTCCGTAAGTCTGAAGGAGCGAGTATCAAGGACCATATCAACGAGTTTTATTCGGTGTCGGAGCAATTGATCGAGATCGGCGTAATAGTCCCAGAAGAAATGTTGACAATCATTTTGCTTTCGAGTTTACCGAAGAGTTACGATAATTTTGTCGTGGCGATTGAAACGCATGATACCTTGCTACCGCTTAAGGTTTTGAAGGTGAAACTGTTAGAAGAAGGTGAAAGAAGGCAAGATATTGGAGAACGTGGAGAAGAAGGAGAGCAGGAGAAGGCATTTGTCGGACGGATTCGGAAAAATGGTAATAACGCCAAAAGAAGCAGTTGTGAAAAGAGCAACAGGACAGGTGATAATATGAAGCATTCAAATTTAAAATGCTATAACTGTGGTCGTCGCGGACACTTCGCTGCAAAGTGCAGAGAATCCAAGAAGGAGTGTGCAAGAAATCAAGAAAAATTTTCTAATATTTTAGCGTCTGTTTCGGCAAATAATTTAAATCGCGATTCTGGGTTATTGACAGTGGATCGATCAGCCATTTGTGTTTGCGATCGTGGTTTGTTTGTATCGCGGGTGATCATAGCATTGAAGCTAGAGGATTGGCGACGTGTTACTAGAGATTGGTGACTTTAATGTAAAGCTTCAGAATGTACCAAGTTTATGTGCCTTCTCTGAGAAATAATTTCTTCTCAGTAAGTAAAGCTGTGTAACGGTCTGACAGTAAGTTTTGAAAATATGCATGTAATAATCAAATGCAAAAATAGCGCGAT